GAGCTTCAGAAACATAAAGGAGACAATATTTATGTAATATGGATTAGGTTGAGCATTAGTCATAACCAGGTATGACCATCAAATAGGAAGGTGGAGCAGACAGTCATCCCAGTGGTCTTCATCTAGGTCCTTGGGCTGCAAATACTCTCAGGACATTAACACCTAATATTTTCATAACACTTAGACAAAGCTCTATTACATCCATTTTTTAAAAACTCCATTAAAATTGTTTATTAGATACTGAGCCTCACTTATGAGCAGACTTAGAATTTGAATCATCAGGATGTTAAGTGGTAGAGTTAGTRTCAAATCCAGTGCTTATGCTGCTTCAGAACTCCCATCTGCCTCATAGGATCACAAACATCAGACCAGAAGGCTCTTTTTCAAGGATCCAATTACCCATCTTATTAGCACTGTTTTATACATGTGAGAAATTGCCATACCAGTGACTCCTTTTTTTGGGGGGTGGGTAGCAGGCATTGAACTCAGGGGCACTTGACCACTGTGCCACACCCCTAKCCCTAGTTTGTATTTTATTTAGAGACAGGGTCTCACTGAGTTGCTTAGCGCCTTGCCATTGCTGAGGCTGGCTTTGAACTCATAATTTTCCTGCCTTCCGAGCCACTGGGAGTAGAGGCGTGAGCCACTGTGCCCAGCTCAAGTGACCCTTCTTCTTCTTTTTTTAAAAAATATTTTTTATTAATTGTTGATGAATTTTTTAAAAAAATTTATTGGCATGTGGTGCTGAGAATCGAACCCAGTATGTCACACATGCTAGACAAGCACTCTACCACTGAGCCACAACCCCAGCCCCCTCAAGTGACCCTTCTTGATGTGGGATATTTTTTCTCTTTCTTTGCTTGGGGAATAGATTCACTTCATAATTTTCTCCTTGGGATTGTTCTACTTCATAATAACAATTCCCACTACAAAGCCACCATCTTGAAAGAGAACCAGAATCTCTTTTATTTCATACCGAAACAAAGGCAAAGAAACTGAGAACCAGCAATTCATACCAGCCTCAAAATTGTAGCAGTTTCTGGGTATCTCCAGAAGCCCCCCTTTACTAGAGAAGAAAGGTGCCAATCTGTAGGCATAGTCTTTATGATTCCTTCTCTCTATGGACAAGCTGCCCGGTTACATCATGTATTTTTCAAGTTACAAGAAATGTGCGGCTGAACCATAGACTTCTGCAGGGTCAGATCATTTGATTCAGCTTTATGGCTGATAGAAACCTGCTTCCATGAGGCTGAGTTCAACACACAAGAGGTGATTAGTGGGGACAATGACAGAAGAGCTGGAAGAATTAACTTTCATTTATTCCAACATTTACTGGGCACTTACTAAATGCCAGGAACTGGAGATACAAATATAAGAGTACTTAAACTTCAAGAATATTTTCCATACTCTAGTACAAAACAAAATTCTGTGTGAGGGAGGATAAGGAAAGGTGACCTGTCTTGGCCTAGTGGATAGGAAAGATAGAAGTGGCATTTTAATTAGACCTGGAGAGCTGAGGAAAGGTATGGTCATGGAAAAGCATGCCAGTTGGTAAGTTTGGGGCATGCTACTWCTGTACCCCATCTCCCACAGGAGATCCACAGGATCTTCCATACAGGTAGAAGGCTAGAGGTTGGAACCTTTTAGCCCAAGATAAGATTAGAGATAATCTAGGTATTTAATAACAGATTCAAGAGTTCCATTCAACTGACAATTGTCAAGACTTAAGAGTGTAATTACTGGATTCAACAAATTTTTATTAGATACTTTAATGGTGGGCTTGGCCTTTAACAAAATTTATGATTAAAACGCTGTAGATGGGAAGATGTTTTATTCAGGTACAGATATTTAAGTATTTATATTCCTTCCATTTTCAGAAAATATTTAAGCAYTTTCCACTAGTTTATAAGTTCATTGTTCAATTTTTAAATTAATGGTGGCAATTATATCAGCTTTCAGTAAATTGTTCCTTCTGTAGCAAAGAAATTCTATAGCAGGCTTCTAGATACACAAATAGCAATGCAATGACAGTTTTAAATCCCCAGGTTTACATATTTTTTAAAAGTTTTCTTCAAAAATGAAAATAAAAACCTACAAGTTGAATACATACAGAGTTTCAAAAAAAAAAAAAATAACATCTTGAGAAAACTCCCAGAGTTAAAAACACCTTCTGAAAACAGCAATCAATCACACTGCTGAAAGGCTCAACAGTCCTAATAACTCTTGACTGGGAGAAAATAAGAGGTTAAGATGGCTAGACCACAAATTTTTCTACCACCATTTGTTTGCAGGATGATTTATTGGAAACGAGGCTAAGAATTTAAGTTACAAACTCTACTTGGACAGATGCCACATCTTACCCTTCTGGGTCGCCTGCACTCAGTACAGGACTTTTAGTTCTCAGCAGATATTCAAAAAATGTCTGTTGAATAAGGAAATGCTTAGCAGACCTTAGAGTCTGATTTGTAAAAATAGCAAATTGCCAGAGGCAAGTGACATTTTTAATTTTAAATTAGTTTTCAAAATTAAGAATGTGAAGTCTTAAGTCTACTTGTATTTATGATTACATTTAAACAATTTGAAAACAAAAGATTCAAAACCATTTGATAGGCAAGAAAACTATACATATGGCTAATTTAAAAAATGAGGTGAGTTACTTTGTAGTGCTAAATTAAACTTAAGAATTTCAAAATAAAGATACACTTGACCACTAATTAATAGAAAAGTACCCTTTTATTGAGAGGTAAGACAAGTGTATTTACAATAGTCAATTGTTAGATTATATAATAATCTGACTGTGAGACTTTTTAAAGCAGCAGTATTCTAGGGATTACAATTTATAAGGGGAAAAGAAAAACATTCCAAATATGTTTCTGTTACAGAAAATWCATTTGAACAATGACAGAAACACTTAAGGCTAAGTAGTATTAGACCTTTTCCTCCATCTCTATGGGAATAATCAAAGTACATTTTTGTCACAAAGACAGAAGGCTGATTTTGTGTA